GTCCTATTCTTTAATCAAACTATGTGAGGAAGTTATTACTATCTTTGGTTTATAAAGAGGACATTAAAAAGCTACACCCTTTTAAAACTCCATTGTACTATAAAATAATTTACTGTTATACCAAAGGCCATTTATGCATTTGCACATTCATTATTCATAGATGATAGCCATTCTACCTATATGCATCAAATACCTATTTTATGAAAATAATGAACTTAAATATTGTGAAAATTATAGATGACATTCATACAGCTCCGATTTTAGGAAGCTTGCAGGATAGACAGAGAGATAACAAGTGAGCCTCATGACCAAAATATAAATTAGAAACTGTGAACTTTTATGTGTTGAGGTTATAATCACACTGAGAGTATCAAACACCAAAGTAAATTGTGTCCACCGTGACTGAGGAAATGTTTGAGCAAGCTGGTGTCTGGAGTAATGTTGGTATCTTGGAATTCAGGGGAAACTGAGTGGACCAGGACAGTTTCCACACACAGAGCATGTAGCATTTGTAAATAGAACTGAGGACATCCCAGAGGTAGAAAAAGTTGTTTTGAGTGACCAGAATATGCGAGCCAGCGGCTGGAGGTATCCTAAGAGTGAGGTATGAGATGGACAGAAGTCAGATGCTCAAGGGCAACAGTGACAATACAGATGAACATGTGACCTGAGAGCCCATTGGAGACTCCCTGAGGAATTGACCGACCACATTGCATTGGGCTTACTCACTTCTCTAAGTTCTCCTTGACTCAAGAAAGAAAATTTCTTCAGTTTTTTACCAAACACAGAAACAACAGCTTTTTTACTCAGTGGGTAAAGCACTTGCCATGGAAGCACAAAGACCTGAGTAGATCCTCAGGACCCATGTAGAGATGGGCAGTAGCTTCTGTAATCCCAGATCCCTGTGGTGAGATGGGAAGAGGAGGGAGGAGAATCCCTGCAAGCCTGGGCCACTACAGATAGAGAACCAGCAAAGAAGGGAACCGTCCTCAAACAAGGCAGAAGGTGGGATCACCCAGCATTGTTCTCTGCCTTGCACAGATGTACGGCAGCACATGCTTGCCCACACTCATACACACACGTACACACACACACACACACACACACACATGAATAATAGGAATATAGCAGTCAAATCATTGAAATTTTGGAAGAAAAAAATATACGTTACATACAATCTTTCAATGTTGAAAGTATTTAAGTTAGTTAGATTTAGGCCTTTTCAAGCTTTTTTCCTCCCAGTTTGGGTTCTAACCCCCCCCCCCAACTCCTTTCATAATGTGTGGGACAATGACCATTATCCTCAATGCCAAGTTTGTTTGCCAATTTAGGGGTCAGCTCAAAAAGTGACTTTTCAGGCGCCACTGTATGTAAGAGAAGCTACAATACACATAGAGGGAAGACAGAAATACTTTTGTTTGTATGCAAAATAGATAAATTACCTGGACCTTAGGGTCTAGATGGTAGCTCTAGACTTACTGTTTTTAGCTACATAATCTCCCATGAGTCAGTTGATTGATGTTAATCCAGAAGTGTCAGTATTTATTTTTAGTATTTTTAATATATGGATGTATGTGTCTGTGAATATGAATGCAGAGGTCTGTGGAGGCCATAAGAGGAAGTCATATCCTCCAGGAGGTGGAGTCCAGGTTGTGAATTACCCTCTGTGCTGCTAGGAATCAAACTTCAGTCCTCTATAAGAACAGCAACTCAGAGCTGCTGAGTCATCTCTCCAGCCCTTGTTCCCTCTTTCCTTCTATTTTCTTCTGATTTATTTTTTTTTTCAAATGTTCATGATTTAGTTTCTACATCTATGAAGAAAGACAACAGACTTGGTGAGGCTGGAGCATCAGATTGGAAGGCTGTGGCAGAACAAAGCTACTCATCTAAAGGTAGCCATGAAACTGAAGCGCAGAGTGATTCCGGGCCCAGGAATATAGGAGTCTATAGCTATCTCTCTCTATATATAATTTATTTCAATATACAACTAAAACATTCACAGGATATGAAAAACAGCAGCAATAGTAAACACACACACACACATACACATACACACACACACAGTTTGGTAATGTAAGACACACTTCATGAAGGGAATTTCAGTGTCCCCATCATATTTGTAAGTCAGAATCTCACTAGGAAGGATTTCTCTGTTTATTTTCTATTGTTTTATTTTTTTAAGAAATCCAAGTTAAGTGCCTTTAGAGAAAAAAGGAGAAAGAAATAAAGTTGGAAGGGAGACATGTTGAGAGAGTTCAGGGGTATTGGAAGGGGAAATGAAGGAATACATATGATTATGATATATTGCCTATGTATATGAAATACTAGAAGAATAAATAAAAATATTATTGTTTTTCATTTTTCGAGACAGGGTTTCTCTGTGTAACCCTGGATGTCCTGGAACTTGCTCTGTAGACCAGGCTGGCCTCAAACTCACAGAGATCTGTCTGCCTCTGCCTCCCGAGTGTGGGGATCAAAGGTGTGTGCCACTCCTGCCTGGCAAGATATCATTGCTTTTTAAAGAAACAGAGGCGGGTGTTGTGGATCACACCTTTTGTAACATTGGGGAGGCAGAGGCAGGCAGATTGCTGAGTTTGAGGCCAGCCTGGTCTACAGAATACATTCCAGGACAGACAGGGCCCCATTTTAAAAAAATGATATGAGTTAGTATTATGGGCATTTATATACATTAATGTTATTTCCTATGGTGCTAATTTACAGTCAGGGAAGAGCATGTAGATTGTAACACTGACTTACAGAGTCACATCATTTTTCCAGAAACTTCTGTGATTTAGTCAATAGAATAAATTGACATATAGGCTTGGTTTCTATGAATCTGGGGTCTCTTAGTTGAAGATATGAAAATAGAAGACAAGATCCATTTGAAAATGCCGGACCCAAATATAGCTGAGGTTTGCTGAAAGCTTCTTCCAGAGACATCACTAAAGCTCTCTGCAGGAAAACGACAACAAACCTCTGTGGACACAAACCACTTTTATCCTTTCAAGCAGACTCTTACCGCCAGCAAGCACAATAAAGAAAACAATTTTTAAACATTTTAATTAACAAGAACAAGAGTTTTCTAATTTATTTTGAAGTGCATCTGACCAGGTACTTAGATTATTTGCTTTTTCAAAGTCCAGAATCAAAATTTACTATTAGCTGTTACTGACTTTTCAAGTTTCATGCTCACATAGTCTCTTCTTTATTTTTAAACTTGAACCACAAAGTTACAAGTTAAAAAAGGAGAAACTTTAAATATTTCTAAAATATGAATGTACAGCAAGAACATGTTGTGTTTAGAGACATTGTCTCCACCCTGTCCTTGATCAGCACTTGGTTGAAAGCAATTCTTAGAATGAGAATTTACGTACACAGTCAGCAAGCATGAGCACATTGTTATGCATTCACACTAGAAATGAAAAAGGCACTGTTAAATTATTTAGGAAACCACCAAAGTATTTCTACATAAAGTTACAAGAGATGCAAAAACATGTTGACTCTAAAGGAGTAAGAAATCCAAGGGTTCCTCGTTTGGAAACTTGGCCGCATTTCTCTTGCCATACGTGTTCGATCCCACATTGGTTGGTGGCAGGACAGGACCAAGGTTGTTGCTGGAACGGACCAAAAAGTTTGCCAGGCGTTGTGTGGCACATGTGGCTGTGTTGCACTTTCGTTTGTCCATCTGATGGTTGGTACCACTGAACAAATAAGAAAGAAGAACCAGGTTGTGAGGCAGCCGAGTCACCTCCACTATTTTATGCATCAAAGATGGGGAATATTTTTATAGAAGTCAGTGCATTGGTTTGCAAACATTTGTGTGACAGTCAGTTCTGATGCCTAGAGTAGGCAGAGGAATCAGTTTCAACCCACAAAAGCACGCAACACCCTTCATTGGGGTCCGCACTGCTCACAATACAAGGAGTATCTTTTTGGATACTTGGCATTCATTCTCATAATAATAAATTCTTTGACTTATATTCTAAGTTGGTGGACTGACTTTCTGTTATATAAAAATGATTGGAATGTATAATTTATATCTAGCCTGTAATTGCTAATTCTAAAAATGCACTCATTTCCTCTTTTTGGCAAAAAGTAAACAATATATTCATACATTTTTGCAATGTATAACACTGAGGACACTATGAGAAGTGAGATAATTCAGGTACAGGAAGGTGCATACTGAGGGAACACACATAAGGTATCTCACACAGTCACATTTGTGAATCAAATAGTGGAATGGTGTGCTCTCTGGAACAGGCATGGGCACATATCTGGGCACTAATCACTGGGCAGCGAGACCATTGGTCAGCAATTTGCCCATAGTATGAAATTTTACATGCTAAAACTTTTGTTGTGAAAGGAGATCTTTTATTGAGTGTTCTTATTATAATAAACATGATAGAAACATTAAAAATGCTAGGTGATTGAAAGGTCATCTAAAAGGTACTATGGAGTCACAGGTCAAATGAATTCATCACTGTACCATCACTCTTTGCTCCATGAGAGTCCTTGACGTGTGTACGTAGACCTCTGCTTTTCAAAAGCTTCAGTGTGAGGACTAGGTTGACTGGTGCATTTAGAGTCTTTCTGAATCAAGGGTGTTGAAATGTCATCATGGTTTTAGCCCCTGAGCAACTGAATAATAATACTAGCAATAACTCAGAAATTAGAACCAACTTAACATTCATTTGTATTTTAACTCATTGACTTATGCATTTGCTTAGTTTTGAGTCTAGCCTTGAAGGCCAGGCTGGCCCTGACCTTTCTATGTAGCCCAGGCTGGCTTCCAACTCATGATTGTCTGGCTTCTCCCTCATGTTGGGCTTACAGGTACGTATACACCAACACACTCATATTTGTACCTCAGTTTGAGGCATTTCTTTATTTTGGCTCTATACTCTCAGAATATCTTGTGTCTCTGTTTTTCACCTTTCTGTTTGTATAAGAACACCTGAAATAAATAAATGTAAAGACAAGAAAGACACTGGGGCACAAAGTTTTGGTGATTGTCATTTGGTCCTGTTGTTTTGGATATTGTAGATACACATCACAGTAGATAGTTATGACATAAAGCAAGCTGGTAATTGCATGATAACTAGAAAGCAAACAAAGAGAAGAAGAGGGGAAAACTAGGTCCCTCAAGTCTCCTTTGAAGGCACAAGTCAAGTGACCCCAACCTCCCATTCGGTTCTCTCTCTCATGTGTACACACTCTCTCTTCCTCAAACACACAGACACACAGACACACACACACACACACACACACACACACGGCATCTCACACAGTCACATTTGTGAATCAAATAGTGGAATGGTGTTCTCTATGGAACACACACACACACACACACACACACACACACAGTTTTCTACTACTGTGTACTCTTACCATTGGTGAAGGACCAAACTTTTAAGACTTAGGGCTTTGAAAGATATTTCAGAAATGAACATTATTAGTGTGATTTCAAAACTGGATTGTAGATATATATGGAATAGTAACACTGTTTACTGTGTTGATTGGGAAATGTTTTAGTTTTCAGAGTTACAGAACTTGAAATACTGTTGAGATTTAGATACACGGATAGTGGAAAATGATCATTACGGGACTAAAAGTAAACGCCTAGGACCATGTAGATGATACACACCTAGGGACTAAGTGCAATGGATGTTGCCATGGGAGACTTTGTGGCGGAGGTTTTAAATCATCATTGCCTCTATGCAGAAGTTCCTTATGCCCTAAATACTATATATGAAAAATTTAAATTATTAAATTATTTTGCTTTCTCACTGCTGTATTTCCTCCCTGTTACAGAAATCTCTTCCAACAGCATCAAGTACACTGTGTCTTTGTTTTGTGTAAATCTACAACAAAGAAGCAGTGAGTTTTAATGTGTTTAATGTGTTCATTTCTGAAGCAAGTTCCCACTTTTAAAGCTCAGGCTGGCACCATCTCCCTGCCTTCCCTCTCAGGTGCAGGGATTACAAGTGTGTGCCACCATTCTCAGGAGGATCTGCATTTTTGCTCTGTGTTCAACTCCATTGTTTCTTCTCTGAAGCCATACTATACATGGACACCATATTCAAGAATTGACTTAATGCTTTAAAGAGTTTTGGCAATGTTTCCAAACACCAGGTATTAACTTGTAAATAAAGGTGACTTTTACTAAAATACAGCTAGGATTAGAAGTCAGTCTGTGCCCCTGAAGGCTGGTAGATGTAAGATAGGAAAGAACATGATCTAGCAGTCAGGTGGCTTTCTGTTTAACGATGTTCTTGGCAGTGATGGGAGAAGAGTGTAGACTTCTTCACAGGCAAGTTGTGAGGCTGGATTTTGACCATTTATCTGAGGGCAATAATAGCACCTTAAGTTACTCTAAATAAAACACCATCTTACTAAATAACCAGAAAGCACCACCACAGAGCAAGAGTTCTTAAAGCTTGTTTCTTAGATGCAAAATTGCTTCCTCCAAGGAACCTTCCATGTAAAGATGATGAGAGCATGCAAAACTAAAATAGTCATTAGGATGCTGGGAAAGGGTGAAATAGCTAGTATGAGATATGTTATATATACATTCGGCTTTTTTTTTTCTTAATGGCTTGTCTACATTAACACTGATATGTAGAAGTGTTCAGCTACTCCCGGGAGCTCCTCATGATCCAACTAGGTACGAGTGTGTGTATGTATATATCCCCCATCACCAAAAGGTATATTGATGCAAAGACATGCAGTGTAAGACATTTTAAGGGCGTCTGGTTAGCATGTACAAGATAAATGATTATGAGAAAAACACACACAAAAGAACCTGATGGACAGTAATGCTGAGGATTATTCTATTTTAGAGTGATGTTCACAGTATAAGATTGAGCACCACAACACACTCCGTAGAGGCACTGGGCAAATCTCTGTATGTACTGAAAGAACAACACGAGATACTAGCAGACACATTAGTCATACTGCTGCATTTTCCATCATCATTCAATTGTTCTGCTTATTGGAAATTTCATAATGGCTTATTATTAATTTTAGTCGTGAAAAGGCCAATTGAAAATTATAGTCAGTTCTGAGAACATCCTGTGAAACCAGGTGAGTCTTAAGATGACAGAAACCATTTTCTGATGACTCCTGCTATTAGTCATAGCCAGTGAGGTAGTACTGTCTGCCCATTGACACAGACCTTCACCCAAGGACAAACACAGCAGAGAAAAATAAAGAAATGATGACGATAATTCTAATGAGAGCCTTAAATCACATTCCTTTTCAAGGTAAATTTGATTCTTTGGGCTGTCAGTGAGTGACTAAGTTTGGTCTCAGAATATATGGAGCAAAATTGGTTTAGGCACAAATCCCATTATATTATTTTAAATTAGATTCATAGATTTTTGTCTTGTGTCTTTTAAATAGATGGAGAATTACAGTTTTAAGTGGTTTTTATCTGAAGCTTGTAATTACTACTATCCTATCCAGCTAGCTGTCATAAACTACCCTAGATTTGCTCAAACTACCATTTAGCTTTCTTTGTTTACCTACAATATTTCCAACAAGCCTTCTTCAGAAATCATGATGATGTGCAGGGATGGTCTCCACACTGACAATATTTCAGGTATTACTAATTTACATCCACAGACGTTCAGAAGTCATCCTGTGTAGAATAAGTTTTTATATCTGTAGAGCCACAGCATGGAATGACCTTCAAATAGCAAATGAGATTTAAGCTAATTCTAAACTTTAACTTCTTAAAAGCTTTCATTTGCCTCCTATCTTACAGCTTCAATTTCCAGAAGAAGATGTAGAATTTTGGATACTTCTAGACACGCCCCTTCCCCCGAAAAAGGCAAAAAAAAAAAAAAAAGTAAATACGCACCAAAATTACAGCTGATATAAAAATAAATGTTTCGTTGGAATCACCAGTTTCTTCCAGTATTATGTTCAAACAGTAACAATGTCTGCCTCTCAGTTTTTCCGTCATGGTACTCTGGCTTTGCTCCTGTGAGTTCTAACATATTTCTTCACAAATGTTGCTAACTATTTCTGTCTGTTGAAAGTTCTACCTGTCAGTCCTCAGACGCTAATGCTGTCCCTAAACAATACAGAGTTAGGAAACAGTTAAACTTCAAGCACTGCTCAAGGGCAGGATTTGCCTAGAAATTGAGCAGTAGGAGGGCTGTTAGTTACACAGTGCTGAATTCTAATTTCCTCACACTTTTCTAAAGAAGTAGGAATCTCAGGGTACCAACCTGCCCACAGGTGAAGCTTTCAGGTGGATTAGTGCCACAGAGAGGATGAGGAGAGCAGCTGGTAGCTTTGAGATGCACATCATTTGTCAGGTTCCCTGAAGAGAAAGAGCACTGAAGTCAAGCTACCTCCTTTAGTTCTGACTGATGCGATTTTAAATTAGAACCTTCAAAGAAAATTTAAAATGTATTTTACAAAAATCTCTATTATTTTTATCGATGCTCATGAACTTTGAAATAGTTCCAAAATGTTCAAGTTCTTTGTTTTAAAAACAACCTGAGAATTTCTATTATAACACACTATTCTATAACACACTATAACACACTCTCTTGCTAAAATAAGTCCTAAAAGTAACACAAAGGTTGCTTTTCTCTCACTAAGTGACACCAAGCAGCGTGCCTTTTACCTTGCAGTGGTCAGTGTAGCGAAATCAGAAAGTGCCTTGACAGTCAGAAGCTCCAGGAAGCACAGCCCAAGCCTGCATGCACGGCGTGGCAATTAGTAGGCTGGCTCTTATATATCCCTCACCTTGCTGAGCTCTGTCACCACAGAGGCTCTGTCATTAATTTCCACCCTGTAGATGGAAAGTGCTTCATAGGCAGCTGGGGCAGGTGGGCCATCCCCCCCATGAACAGTTGAGCAAATACTAGCAGAGCACATACTGCGTGCCTTTGTGGGGTTAATGGTGCACCAGGCGCAGTAGGAGTTTCCATTTATTGGAAATACAGTGAATTTTCCAACAATTAAGTTTAACAGTAAGGAAGTGACTTTTTTTTTTTAATAAAAAAACAGTAATCAAGAATAACAATAAAGTGAGTTTACGTGTAGTGAGAATGCTAGAGAAATGGAGGAGTTATAACCAAGGGCACATGATCTTCTCTCTCAATAGTAAGGACACTCAGAAAAGGTTTGTAATAGCAGAGTAAGAACTGTTTTTAAAAAGCACATAAAAGGGAAAATTAACTGGACTCAGCATTTAAAAAAATTACAGGAAGCTGGGAGAGAGTATGTGAAGTAGAGGCAGTCTGGGAAGATTTTGAGGGAAAATCTTTGAATTTGTTCAAAGCACATTGCATGCACATATGAAACTTTCAAGAACAAAGAAACAATATAAATTTTAAAAGGAAAATAAAGATAGAAAGACCTGGAGGGGACAGGAGCTCCACAAGGAGAGCAACAGAACCAAAAAATCTGGGCCCAGGGGTCTTTTCTAAGAGTGATACTCCAATCAAGGACCATTCATGGAGATAACCTACACCCCTGCACAAATGAAGCCTATGGCAGCTCAGTGTCCAAGTGGGTTCCCTAGTAATGGGAACATGGATTGTCTCTGACATGAATTCAGTGGCTAGCTCTTTGATCAACTCCCCCTGAGGGGGGAGCAGCCTTACCAGCCCACAGAGGAAGACAAAGCAGCCACTCCTGATGAGACCTGATAGACTAGGGTCAGATGGAAGGGGAAGACTACCTCCCCTATCAGTGGACCTAGGGAGGGGCATGGGAAGAAAAGAGAGAGGAATGGTGGGCCTGGGAGGGGATGTAGGAAGGGGGCTACAGCTGGCATACTAAGTGAATAAATTCTTATAAATTAAAAAATAAATTAAAAAAAGGAAAATAAAAGCCATTAATAATGAAGTGGGGAACACCAAAGACATAAAACCAATAGTTTTACAGCTAAAGATTTATTTATCAGGAATTAGAGAGAGAGACATAGGCACACAGCATTCATTGACTGATTAATTGAATGTGTATGTGTGTGTGTTTCAGTTTATTTTTGAGTATGTACTTACAGAAGCCCAAGGACAATCTCAGGACTATCCTTAGAAGCATTCAATTATTCCGTTGAGACAGACTGTTTCACTGACTGGGAACTCAGAATTTTGACTCAATGGCTGGTTACAATGGGATCGCCAAGGGAGCTTCCTGTTTCAGCTTCTCTAGTTCTGGCGTTAGAGGCAGACCCCCCCCCCCCCCCCCCACAGTTTTACATGGGTCTTAAATGCATGTCCTCTTAGGAGGCGAATACTTCACACTGACTTAGTTGACCCCTCAGCCCTGGAACCCTTATTTAAGTGGAGTTTGTCCAGTAATAGTTTTCTGAGAGAAGGGGCACAGGAAAATTTTGTTTCTTTTGTTTCTGATCAGATCTTTATTCCATTTAAAATATTTTCTTCATTTTGACAAACTGACCTTTCTGGTTCTGTCTGGTACTGAATTCAATATGTGGCCAGGATGACCTTGAAATCCTAATCTTACCTCATCTCCAAAAGGCTTGTATTTCATATGCCACTCCTGGCTCTGCTCTATGTTCACTCTCCTAAAAACGGATCTTTATGTATACTGTGTAGCATATGGTTTTTATTTAGAGTTTCATAGGCATTATATATCAGGTATCACCACTATATATAGCTATAACCAGATATACCAGCTTAACCACTGGTGTTTCTATAAAGAAAAATGATTTATAGAGAGAAACACTTCCCGATTCTTCGGTGTGCCTTTTAAAACACTCTGTAGAAATACTTTGGACCTTTTCATTATTCTTGGTCTGTGAAATTTCATGTGATGTGTTTTGGGCTGTATTTTTCATCAAAAACCTTGGAAAATCCACGTTTTAAATATATACACTTGAGTCTTTCTAACCTGCAGGTGAAGCCCAGGCTTCTTACATTTAGACCGCACTCCACCACTGACTGATAGCCCCAGCGCCGAGCATCTCTTTTGTTCCAGATACTGACCTGAATAAGGGGTGGAGAGGTGACTTAGAGGTAAGGTAGATTAAGTTTCTGCTTTGATGATGCTTCAGGTCTAGCTTGTTCAGAGGCATTTAGCAGGTAGCAATTAAAGGACTTATGATGAAAACATGCTAAATACATTTCCACAGAGGGTAGCATGCAGACAGGGGCTGCTGGAGTGACCATTCCTGTTGAAATCAGCCAAACTGGGAAGCCAGTGAAGCCCAGCAGCACAAAGGAAAAGCTCTGTAATGTCCAGAACTGGAGGAACTGTGGGAAATTTCTCTCCCCTATGAACTTTCCATAAATAAGCAGTATCTTTAAGTTTATCTGGATATGGAATAGGGAGGTTGTCCTATGCATATGAGCTAAAACTCAGTGAGTTGAATGCATTGTGACTCTTGCATGCAGTGAGTCTGTGATTAACCTGTTCATTTTTATTTCTCTTATCCAAATTGTTTTCTGTGGTATTATTTGAGTAAGAAGTTATGGTATTTTGTGAAAGGTCTCAAAAGGATCCTTTAGACTTACTCTTTGGCTTTGAGTATGCTAGAATTCTGAACAGAGGTGAACTAGTCCTCTTAAACTAAAACAACAACAACAAAAGGACCCTTAATAAAAGCAGACTATCAGTGCAGAAGCTGAGACTTATGGCCAACCTTTGGGCAGAGTGCAGGGAATCTTAGGAAAGAAGTGGGGAACAGTAAGATCTGGAGAGGACAGGAACTCCACAAGGAGAGCAACAGAACCAAAAAATCTGAGCACAGGGGTCTTTCCTGAGACTGATAATCCAACCAAGGACCATGCATGGAGATAACCTAGGACCCCTGCACAGATGTAGCCCACAGCATTTCAGGGTCCAAGTGGGTTCCATAGTAATAGGAACAGGGACTGTCTCTGATATGAACTGATTAGCCTGCTCTTTAATTACCTCCTCCTGAAGGGGGAGCAGCATTACCAGGCCACAGAAGAAGACAATGCAGCTACTCCTGATGAGACCTAAAGAAAGGAAAAGAATACTTTCTTATCAGTGGACTTGGGGAGGAGCATGCGTGCAGAGGGGGGGAGGAAGGGAGGGATTGGGACAGGAGGAGGGAGGGAACCACAGGGGGAATACAAAGTGAATAAAGTGTAATTAATAAAAAATTAAAAAAACATATCTGCTTGAGAGAAACACAAAATTAAAAGGTGGTGGTAATAATACATTAGTTAGAATGTACTAATTAGATGATCTTGCTGGCAGTTAAGGTAGAGTTTGGCTGAGAAGACTGTGGACAGTGGGTAAGGTGGAGAGGCAGTATGTCTCAGGTCCCTGGGGATCTATGCTGTTGTGGGTCAAGCTGTGGTATTGTGCTTCATTCAATTATATTGATGTCTGTTCCCCAAAGGCAGTGAGGATAGTATTTTACTCCATTAGTTATTTGGTGAGTGAGATTTATCTAAACTTTGTAAATATATGAATTCATTTATGGAAGTACCAATTCTAAATTTTCAACTGTAATTTTATCAGAATAAAAAAATGTTATACTTTGGTAAAGGAGTAAGTAAGTTTGACCCATCTCATTTCCTTTTTATTTTTTTATTTTTCCTCCTTGTTTGCTTTTTTTTTTTTTTTTGGTTGTTTTATAACAGGGTCTTACTATGTATCCAGGGTGGCCTGTAACTCAATTATGTAGCGTATGCTGGTACCTTGGATTTAATTGTCAACTTGACACAACATAGAATCAGCTGGGAGAAGAGTCTCAATGATGAATTGATTACACTGGATTGGCCTGTGGACATGTCTGTGTGGGATTATGCTAATTGATGTTAGAAGACCCAGTTCACTGTCCTTAGCACCATTCCTAGACAGGGTTTCCTGAACTGAGGGAGTGGAGAGGGTACCTGCATAGCCAGCCAGATCATCTGGATTAAGCATGGTGATCAAGAGCATGACAGAATTCACAGCCAGGTCACCCTCACATCCTAAAGTGCATTTTAAATAGAAAGTCCTCAGTGCCTTCTTACAGAGAAGCATGGGAAACTTAAGCCTCTCAAAACTGGTGTTTTGGAGCTAGTTTACTTAAAATTGTACCAGGTAGACACACATTGTCTTCTAGAGGGAGGAAAAGCAGTAACTGCTTGTGGTAGTTTCAGTAGGTCTCCAAACAATAGCAATTTGGATAAATTTCATCTATTTGCTACAATGTCTAGCCAAGACCCTTTCAGCTATTGTGGACATGAATATTTAAAACAGATGAATTTCCACAAACT